ATTGGAGCCACTTGAAAACATGAAAGTTGTAGGCAATTGTCTCAGATTTCTTTTGTAAAAAATTCAGCTCATTTGGACTTCGAGAACTCCAGATATGGCCAAAATACTGAACAGTGCTCGGGCTGGAGGACAGATTCGGGCTTTTTTGTTGTTGCTACAATTTGGACTTGAAAATGGACTTTCTAGATCTTGGGCTCCATATAAAAGTTGTAGGCCTATGTCTTACCTTTCCATCCATATAAAGTGGACCTAAATCTGAGATTTACAACTCCAGATATGATCCAATTACCGAACAGTGTTCTGGTATGGACTACACCGACATCTCTTTTCGGAGTTTAGTCATCTCTTTGTCCTTTCAATTTCAATTCTTAAATTCATCAATCAATCCTTTCATTTATGTGATAGGCCTGCATTAAAAATAGATATTTACCATAAATTATAGGTAACTTATATTATTAGATATATTATTATAAAACATGTTTTAGTTAAGGAGTTATTGATACTTCAAGTGCTAAATGATTATATAAAACCTTGATAAAAATACACTTTTAAGTATTAATCAGTATGGGGATAAGAAAACATCTATAGATTTGTTAAAAATATGATTAATTTTACTTTAATGCCTCTAAAAGAGAATTCCTAACCAAAAGCTCAAAAAGCTAGAGGAAAGGCATTCCATACTATTGACTGAGTTGTTTTAGAAATTAAAACATATTTAAAAGATATAAAAGAAATAAATGCTTTTATTATGAAGTCCTTTTTGTTATTTGAAGAAATTGATAAGATAATTGAGGTTTTTGAAGTTGTTAAGTCTTTATTACAAGAGTTTTAAGAAGTTATCCTAGATAAATTGTTGGATGAATTACCTTACATGCATGATATTAAATGTAAAATGACTTGATATTAAGGCTAATCTTTTAAATATATCTCGTTACAAAATGAGCTCAAAAGAAAAGGAGATCTTAAGGGAGAAAATAAAAAAAATTATTGAAGAAATGGATGATTCAAAAAAGCTTAAGCATATGTGTTGTCCTTGTTTTACTAAAAATAGAAAAAGATTGTAGTTGACATATATGTATTTATAGTTATGCCATTAGTAAAGTGATAAATCTTTTCTCAATTAGATAACATGCTAGATTAATTATATAGTTGCACTAGAAAAATGATTTTTAAAATAAAAGATAGTTTATCAGGTAGTTATACTATTTGAGTTAACAAATGTGTTAGACATTTTCATAAAACTAACCTATCATATTTTAATCTTTTATAAATTCATTATGGTTTATTTTAATGGTAGCTTTATGTTTAATTATAATAAAACAAAACATATTCAGCACTCACAAAGGATTCTGAAGGTTATTATTTAATTTTTAATAAAAATATCAATTAATTTTTTTAATTTTTTTGAAGTTTAAAATATAATTTTAAAATTCAAAAACTTTAATTTTATTTTTGATATAAAATTGATCAACAAAAACCCTGTTCTAGAATCCTTATCACAACATCATCACCGAGTATAATACTAAACGAAATAATACTAAATCTAAGCACACATATTAAATTATTATTGGAGAAAAGTATTGTTCATGTGTGAAACAGAAAACCTTCATTAAAGAAACTGCTTATATCTAAAACATTTAAGATTTCCGTTTCAGTTGCCGCTTCATCTCAATTTCGTCAAGATAATAATCAGTACTTAAGCATGGGTAATTGCTGTTTTCATTTTGTTAAAAAATATAAAAGAAAAACATAAAGGGTTTGTTTTGTTGTATAATTTCCCGGAAATCGAGTAAAAACACACGGAAATGAAAAATCGACACGTTTCAATTTCCATCCATTCTAGTGTCAATTTATCATACCTCATCACCAATCTGACGGAGGCGGATTATTATTACATAAATAAGATAAAAGTTAACTAAGTAAAGGAAAGGAAATGAAAGGCATAAACTTGAAACCAAAAAAAAAGAAATAAAAGAAAAGAAACTAACACCCAACTCAATACAGAAAGTTAAAGAAAAAAATTATTTATTTCCTTAATTTCGATTCAATCAAGTTACAGCAAACATAAAATGAAGTACAGTTATATATTCTTATCCTTGAATCCAAGTTATGGAGGTCGGTGGTTGAGCAGCAGCAGCTCCCAGTCGACTCGGCCTGAGTTCACTGGCGAGAACGCGTATGATATCTTAGGAGTTTCGGAGACCAGCTCATTGGCTGAAATCAAAGCTTCGTTTCATAAATTAGCGAAACAAACTCACCCTGACCTCTCTCATCACTCAAACGCCTTTAATTCTCACCGTTTCATTCAAATCCTCGCTGCTTATGAGGTTCTTACTCTTCTTCTCGGCTTCTATTTGTTACTCTTTCTTTTTTGATCTTATTTATTAGTATCGTTTCTTTGTTGAATATGATAATTTATTACCATTGAGTGGATTTTTTATGAACGATTTTTCAGATGCATTTTAGAAATTAATTTAACTGTGATTGAGAATGATTTTCTGTAGAAATTATATACATTTTAATTATAGATGAGAATGATTTTTCGAGAAAGTATTTTAATTGTAGTTGAGAATGTATAAATTATTTTTAACTGCAGATTCTTTCGGACGCTGAGAAGAGGGCGCACTATGACAGTTATTTACTATCTCAGAGAAAGAGAGTGCTGACACAAGGTTCGACATTGTACAGATACGAATCGCGAATGACTATGAATAAAGAGATGGAAGTTGTTGAGTGGTTAAAGTGGTATAGATTGGCTATAAATGATATATTGTCTCAGAGAGAGGTGGTGGCTGGAACTGGTTATTTTGATGTACTTGAAACTGATTTTTATTCAGCCATACATGCAGCTTATTATGGACCTGTAATTGAGTCCATGAATCTTCTTCCTGATCGGTTTGAGGCGGAGGAAAGGTCTGTCCATGAAACTCCTGAGGTTCTGCATTTGGTTTCGGGTCGTCATCTTTTTGGAATGGTCTGCCTGGCCGACAAGATTCCTAAATTATCTTCTGCCTCTACTAAAAAATTAAAAAATGCCTTTGCATCTTTTGGTTTGGGAGTCTGTAAATCTGTTGAGGATACATGTGTCTTGAAAAATTCCAATGCGGTGGATGATGCTGGAATTTCTCAGATGCATCCAGGGAATAGTGTAAGTGATAAATCAGATGCATATGAAGATTTAGAATTGCATGTTTCTGGAAGGGTGGTGGCTGTGGCAACTAGAGTTCCTCCTAAGAACCAGGATGGCAGAGCAGTACAGAATGAAGATGCACAAGATCAGATACATGTTTTTCTTAAATCGGATGATGATCTTGTGCATGCTAGCAAAGGTTTTTACAAGGAATCTCTTGTGCCTGGTGCTGTTGGTGCAAGGATTCCACTAGGAACCATAAAGGGAATGGGCAGCAGTCTTGAAGAGGGATCATGTTTTGTCTATGATGCCTGTGGTACCAAAACTCATGTGATAATGAAACATAGAACTTTGATGGTTTGTAGTATTATTCTCCTGTTTGTATCTTCTTTTCTTCTTCTTCTTTTTTTAAAAAAAAATTCATGACGCATAAGATGCAAATTAAGTTTTTTGTTCTGTGCCTCTTCTTGATAATGCTAGTTTTATATGCTGTTTATTTTACATGGAATAGCAAAGAGAGTATCGGGTCCCTGCGTGATTAATGTCTCTTGCATATACATCAAATACACGCAACATAAAGCCTCAATCCCAAACTATTTGGGATTGGTTATTGGTGTCTCTTGCATACTTATTAAATATCCCTCTATGACCAAACTGGGAATTGGAATTATCAATGAACAGAAAGCCGACCCTCGTCCTCTTTATGGCTTGTGATGAAGATAAATATGTCTTCATTTCCCTGTGTATCATCAATACTCTAATTACATCGATTTGCTTTAATTTAATAGCTCCAATATCCATGTTTAGTATTCTATCCTTGCATGTCATTGTTTGAGTGTCACCATCTAGATCCATTTACGAGCTGCATGGATTTCTTTCCACAATTCTTAAAATATTTTCTAGGCTATGCTGGTAGCTTGCCTGAGCACCTTTCATGAAAACAATTGATAGTTTTCAGACTGTTGTGGAAATGTGACTGATATTTATTAAACCTTTTTTTGTCCTTGGATGGTTTTCCATTCAATCCTGGCATTAGGTGAATTTATTTATATGGAAAAGCAAAGGATGGCCACAGATGGGACAGTAGATAATATAACTTTTTCCTGTTCACTATGCATGTCATTTTCAGTGAGAATTATCCATGCATGCCCTATAGGATCCTGTCCATGTTAGTTAATCATATAGTACTAATGAATTCTGTTAAAAAATTTCAGGTGAAGCACATGCACTGGTATGGAGTAGGAGATAAAGTTTCTATTGTTGAATGCAGATGCAGCAGAGCCCGATTGCCACCAAGCAAGTGAGTAGCTTCATTTCATTTTATTACAATGATGGATGAATTACTGTTTCCAACAGCCAATTTTCTCTTTAGTTTTATATATTTTTTATTTTAATTTGTTCCATGTAAATGGTTGCAATAGATTTTGGCTGTTTGAGCCTCGTTGTGACATGCACGACATAGGTGGTTGGTATGTTGAAACATTCGGTAGAGATAAGAAAGGTCGGACAGTTCCATCTCAAAGGTATTGGGATGGATTTGATGGAAATGAACAAAATGACAAGTAAGTACATGAAATGTAGCCTAATGAGATTTTGAGTTATGTCATAGTTTCCCCTAACTTTGCATGATTCATCTTTTGATAAGGTCAAGGATTTCACTTGTATCATGTATGATCTTACTGGAATTATTATGTTCAACTTGTGGGATAGGTAGATATTTTCAAAGGTTTTAAAAAGGTACTAGATTTGTTAATACCTGAAATGGCTTGATAATAAACTTGGAATGAAGTCTCAACTTGTTATTTTTCTTCAAATTCAGTACTTTTTCTCCAACCCTCCTCTTATTGCAAGTTGGCATTTTAATCTGTAGCTACATCTTGTCTATTTGTTGCATTAGGTATATGAAAGAACAGAAAAAAAGCTAAAGAAAAGAGAGAGGGGTAGAAAAAGCAAACACAATATTTGAATCTAATGCCTCTAGCAAAGCTGGTCCATCCGTGTAGCATACAAATCATGCAAATTTTTCATACAAACTGATTTGACAATTGTTCTTTATATGCTGAACTGATCATTTATCACTTACCACATTTGTTTGTATGGAATCGCGGTATGATTTGTTTGCATGCATAGCAATTTTTCTTCACTCTGACTTTATTAGCATGAAATACCAGTTCAGTTTATCTTTGATGGTACATGATCTGAATGGATTCAAGATATTCACCTTTGTTTGCTATAAAGGATGTATTTTCAGCTTATCTAATCTTACCCTGATATTGACTTGTCATCAATAAATATTCCATACCTTCAAGCTAAGAAGAAAAATTTATGTATTTGTGTCCCATTGATTTGAATCTCAATGGAGATATTAGGAACCATATTGTTGTAGAACCACCAACAAGAACACAAATCAAGATAACCAGTTATCTAGGAGAAAATTTATTATAAGAATCATTATAAGTTTAAACTGGAGGTCTAGATAGAGTGCTTATCTATAGGCACTAAACCAAATAAAATAGGAAAACTAATAGTAGTAGGAAAACCTTTGAAACAGTCTTATTTCATAAGGAAACAAAAATATGAAAACCAAACTCTATTTTTCTCTCTGAAGTACTGAATCCTAAAAAACCTATCTTCCTGTAATCCCGCATCACATAATTTTTGTGTTTTCCATTGCAGAAGACTACATCCGGCGATGTATTTACTTGCTCTTGCATATAGAACTCTGGATATTGAAGATACAAAAAGAAGGAAACGGACCGTTAGGAATTTAGTTGAAAGTCAACTGTTTAGAATACTCCATTGGTGCAAGAAACTTGTGTAGGAATGACCGTAAGGGCTTCGAGATTCATATCAGTTTCAGCTGTTATACTTGGCAAGCACCTTGTTTATGACGTTGAAGGATGGTCAGTCACTATACTGTAGTATAAATCAAGCAAGGCCATTGCGTGAGCCATAGTTTCTGCAAGATGACTGAATATTTTGAAGAACCAATCTGTACGATTCTCAGGACAACAAAGTCGTTTAATAGGGCAGCCATTTGGATGTTCAATTTCTGATGCTAAATATCACGGCTCTAGAATATTGGATTATTTATTTCTATGATTGAAGAATGAGCTGTTAAGTTTGCTCTAATATTCAACTGAGCAAGAGCTGGGTTGTGGTATCAATAATTTCTCAATATTCTATCATTGTATATCCTGCTACTGGAGACGATTTTTATGGCATACAGGTTTATAGGGAAAGTGGTCACTTCTGTGCTAGCTGGATTTACAAGATGATTATCTAGATATCTTAGGGACATGAAAATTCTGTTTTGCCTGTACACCATGAAAATTCTGTTTTGCCTGTACACCTTTTCTAAGGGCTTATCATGTGCACCTGACATTCTTGATTTTTTGCATGCAATTTTCCTCAGACATGGAGAGAGGTGATTCTGTGAATCTTGAACCCCCTTGGCTACATTTTATGCAAGTGCGTGAATTCTTCAGAACTCTTCTTCTTTTTATTCGGTGAATGGAATTCTTCAGAACCTATCCTTATGTTCCCTGCTATCAAAGATGACCTTAGTGGTATATGGAGAAATTGTTTTTCTTTAGTTCTGGAGCTAACTGGATTTAAGAACAATTTGTAGATATGTTTGGATGGCATACTTGCCATTTTCTCTGCTTTTCTATTCTTAAGCGTATCTTTCTCTGTACCATATTTTCTTGAAGTTATTCTGAGGCATTATTCATCAAGCATGTTAAAGTATTGACATTTGGCAAATATCTAACTTCATCATTGTGTAGATAGACCACAGATATACTTTGGCAGTTTTTTAAGCATAGATCATAGATGGTGGCTCATGAAGAAAAAGTGATGGTATCTCAAGATTAATTCAGTTGCTTTGTTGCAGGCATGAGTTTGCTTATTTGATTCGTGATAGTGTGTATATCATATCATTCTAGCCTGCAGGTTTGCTGCATTTGCTTGCCTCTTTAAAGTTTCTAATCTACTGGCAATCAGTAAATTGGATTGTCCTGCATTAAGTTTATCTCTATGGTGGTTGCCTGATGTTCCCAAAACTTAGTTGTTGTTCCAATTTTTGAAAATACAATCATTTCCTTGAAGGTAACCACATAAAACCATATATATAATTCTTATTCCAGTTGAAATGTTACAAAATATTTTCATAACCCCTGCGCCCTTTTTCCTCATCGGTTAAGTAAGTCTTCCCATTTGCAGTACTGTCCACCTGCTAATGCACGATAATATCTGTCTCTGCAGTAGACTGGTCTTCCACCAGCAGCCTTAGCGGCAGCAGCTGCCAGATCATCATCAGTTATCACCTCCACAGGCAATCTAAGCAACTCCTCTTTTCTACGATATGTACAAGAAAATATAAGGATGTAAATTAAATGGACATGCAATGGCAGTAGGATTCTCTAGACTTGTGCTCATACCTCACGTTGTATTTTGTATTTTTCCCTGAAGCTGGATCAATTGATGGGTTTTCTTTTGTGGAAAAAGTCGTTTGAAAGAAATCTTCTACTGGTGTAGCAAAGATAAATAGCATTACTGCTGTCACGAGCAACGCTCCTGTTCCGACAAGTGTTTGTTTCAACATCTTGATGACTGGTTTAACCTAGGGGTTTGGAGGTTCAGTATGAATCTCTTTTGCTTTAAAAATTTAAGAGCTCTATCATGTGCCAGTTTGTAATGTGAAAAGACAATGAATAAAATCATCTACAGTCCACTCCATAATTACATTGGTGTTTGATTCCTTGTTAGTGAGTATTGTGTGGTTTCCTGTGCATGTGCATTCATACTTGTTTGTGTTGTCTTGCTCTGGATGCAGTAATGCCCATTAATTCACACCTGTGCAGCTCTATCTACACATGCATGTGCAGAGTTCTTGTAAGATCTTTTAGTTCCATTGAAGTCCTTTTCATTTAGCATGTCCATCTGTCTTTATTTTTCTATACATGTGGTATTTCATCTTGTTTAGTAGAAAAATTGTCTTTGTGATAATTTTCTCTGCAAGCATCATCCTGAATTGAATATATGAAATGGGCTTCTCACCTTGTAAGAGCCCAACAGTCTATCACGAGCCAGGACCTGCATGGGAGAAAAAAAAATGATTAATTCAAGTGTCATTCTGATTTTAAGAGATAATATCAGCATATGCCTGTTTTAGCAAGCATGCAAAGCAGAATGAAAAACAAACTGTTGATACATATGTCCTCCCTAGTTTGCTTAAACATTTCATCCAATCCCCACTTCAGACTACCACATTAGTGAGAAACTCTGGTTGAACATTAGTAGACATTCTTATTGCTATTAGTTATTTTGATTTTTCTATGGGATTGTGATATTTTACTTTTTGATGTTTTTTTGAAGTTTGGACTTTGAGACAATGCAATTGAGCTATCTCCATCACTGTGCTTTGTTGAGGGCATGTAGGCTGCTAGCTGAGCTGACTGATATCACATGGTGGTAAGATAAGCTATGCTTTTACTTCTCATTCATGTGAATTAAAGAATGTGCTTGTTATTATATTGGATTTTCATTTACTCTTATGCTATTTCTTTTAATATATTCATTACGTGTAGCCTTTCACGTGTTATGAGCTTATAAGATACTTTGACCCTTTTTGGCCCAAGGAAAATGCGTGTTTTTACATCTATTAGTATTAATTAAGGGGTTTTTTCCTCCATGTTATTCAACAATTATTTTTTGATTGTTATTGTGGCCTGGCACTTCGCAGACTCCTGTTAATATTTTGTTCTTGTAATTGCTTAATATCAGTAATGTTACAAAATACATAATTTCACTAGCTGTGGTGATCTCTCTGATTTATTCTCTCCTATCAAAGTTATGTACACGCACAAGTGCCAGAAACATTGATAATTAAGAAAATGCATGGAATAGTATGTTGTTGGCGGAAATAATTCAAAATTGATTTTTTTAAACTATGCCTCCACTTATATGTTCCCTTCAAGGCCTTTGCTGCCCTCAACCTTTTCGCTAAGAATCTCAGTCCCCCCATTGGTATTGTGTTTAGGGCGAAATTAGAAAATTATTGGAAGATGATTGACCCCCCTTGATATTGTGTTTTTCATTCATCATACAACATAGGTGACCAATTAACTGTTAGGAAATTGTCCTTTTAATATGTTTCCTATCCTTTTAATGCACTAGAATTAAAAATTCATTGAATTCTTCGTCCTAAAGAATTCGTCAGCTTTTTCTGCATGCATGCAGACGCATGCCCCCACACACCCAAAGACAGACACTCGTATGTATAGATGATAGAGAGAGAGATGCTAACCTCAGTTGGCTTTACCCACATTTGTCCATCATACCATCCACTCTCTTCATAGGGAATCACAGCTGACAGAAGTCTATCACCAACATAACTCCATCCCTGTGGTATGCACATTAAAATGTGGTAGTTTCCAAAGGAATACTTTAGAAAAATGTATGAATTGGTGGTCGGTTTCATGTTAAAATGGAAATGACTGAAAAGGGTGCAATTTGAATGTTAATTAGTTGGGATCACACCTCTTGTATCTCCTGCATACTGCTGGTTTGGTTGTGCATTCATCTAGACTACGTGGTAGTTCTATATTAGGACAATTAGAGAGAAGATATGTTACAATATTTTAGAATATTCTGCCATGGTATGTTTCTACTGTTTTGAGTGGGCAAAATATTCTTACTGCCAGAGTATAGTGTTTGAATAAACTATTGCAAAACAGATATCAAACTGTGCTTCACAACTGTAACACCTTTCAACACTACCACTTTATGTTTTTTTTATCAGAAACTACCATGTTAAGATAACCCTCTGTTTATGCAGTTAACTTTGCGTCCAGCCTTTTTCCAGATGAATTGAATAGAGTATTGTGGTGGAGGCTTTAAGAATATGGCCTTTCCAGTTGAGGAGCACCTTTCAGAACCTACCTTTTCCGGCTAATACATTCAGCAAGGGAGTGACTACAAACAAACTGGTTTTCTGTTAGGCTTCTCATGGTTATTTCCCCTAGTAGTTTCCACCATCACAACCAGTCAAATGATTTGTTTTATTCCTATATTTCTGAAAAGAATTATTACTCCATGACAATACTGAGAGTTCTTTGGATTGTGATTTTGATGGGTGTGATGTAACAATGATGATGATGAAAAGAAGATGAAGATGATACCAGATATATTCTTAAGATGATTAATGACACAAGGAATAGAGTTCCTGTTCCAGCAGCTAGCACAAATCTTAATGGTTCCTGCAAGATTGGAACACTGAAATAAAGCCTTAATATTCACAAGTGAAAATCTTTTCACAGATCAAGTATGTCTAGCTTTATATCTATCCTTTCTGAGTTTCTGAGATACGTGATTCTACTCGTCTCTATCATTCCATGTCTATACCCTTCTATCAGGTGGTTCTGCATCTAAAGCTAATTCTAATAATAGTTATAGGTAGAGGATAGGATAGGAAGAGAGCGCAAGTGCCCTAAAAAACCTTGCCTCGTTTCAAAAGCAAAAAGGCGCAGACAGAACTGCTGTTTCCCTGTGCTTCAGCATTTTAAATAATTTAAGAAATTCTTTTTGGACTTTTCGTGTGATAACTAGCTTCAACTCTGGATCAGATGTTTCATCAATATTCTTTTTTTGAAAAGATGGTTTGCATTTTGAACTTACCCTGGAAGGATTGAAAGTTGCAGCTGCAATCGGAACTCCAAGAACTGTGAAGGTTGCTAACCAGAGTCCACCAAGGCGAAGTAAAAAGGGTCCTGGACCAAGTTCACCCCAAGAATACAGGGGTCCCTCTTTCAAAGACGAGTACTCGTTCACCTATTACAGAACTCGGACCACTGTAAGTGTGAATATGTCTCGTATCATGCTCAAGGGATGGTTTACTTGATGCATGCATATCTGCGTGTGCATTTGCAGCATACTTTTTTTTTTTTTTTTCTTTTGGCAAGAAAATTATGCATATCTGCGAAAGCTTTATAAGACACTAAGATATGAATTTGCATAAAGCAGTTGTGAAAGCTGTGCTTACAGTCACACAGCAGACTTACCGGCCTTTGTTCAAAAGGAACCTCAATTTCCAAGCCAGGCTCCCAGCTCCGGCCTGGGAAACTGCTTGTACCCCCATTAGTGTCATCTTTCAAAGCTTTCACAGAAACCAACGGTGATAGTTTCTGAGCTCTATGGTAACTAATTATCCATGATCTATAGCTGGCTCCAAGTGTGGCTTGTCTTGGACAAGGAATTAGAGAGCAGCAGACATTCAGCTTGAGCATCTAGTTTCAGGCCGTTAAACTAGCCGTTGATAGGTGCAGCAACCAAATTCTGAACCTTAGGTGTTCAACTTTTTCGGTGGAAGGAGGGACTATCTAGTTAAAGGGATGGTTGCATTTTCTTCAGGGACCATGGATTATTTACGTGGAGGAAAACAAGGGAGACGTCGTTTTATTTATTTCTTTGAAGGAGAGGATTCTTGAGACAAGAACCTCTTAATTGATTTGTTGCCATGGTGGACAAAACTGGTCACGGTGACAAATCAAGATTTGGCATTGTCTAGGTGGCCCACAGATGGATTGCTTATATGTTCATGCCATCTATTTACGTGGCCTTGTTTAATACCACTTACTGCCGGGGGAATCAGATTATCCAAATGTGACGTACTTTGGAAGTGTCTGGTAGTATATTGGTAATTGCTCTTTAAATTTTATTTTTGATATTAATACATTAAAACTAATCAAAAATACAAAAAGATTAATTTAAAGATTTTTTTTTATTTTAATTTTAGAAAAGTGCAGGTGGCGGCAAGAGACAAATAGGCTATTCATGTGGTTCAAGACGAGGCATCCTCTACCGTGCACGCAATTGTTTGTGTAGTTCTCGTGTTTCCACGGGCAAAGACATCGACAGAGTATGCTTTCTAACTCCAGCCAACTCATATTTCCTGTGTACAACTAAAGTAGAATCCCACAGAAACAGCCTTCGGTAGAACAAATGATCATTGACCTCCATTAAAATGGTAAAAAGTACAAGGAGCCCAAACTATCGTCATAAAAGCCTAGGCCTTTAAGCTAGCAGCCAGTCTTGCGTGGTCAATCTAGTGTTAGGTACCCGAAGCAGTATACAATGGTAATATGATTGGGTGTTTACTAGTTACTTGGCTGGCGCTCCTTGTTGCAATTAATTGGTGATGTTAATTTATGAAATATAAACCGTATATTAAACCTTGAATAATTATCGTATTGTAATGGTATTTGAGGAGGTCAATAAAGAAGAAAAAACAGATCACGACTATAGGGATAATGATGGTTTCGATTTGTAGTCCTCGTAACGTTACCTTCACCTCCTCTTTTTGTCTCTCATCAAGGTAGTTTTTGTTGTCAAATCCTTTTTTTAAAAAAAATATTTTAAGATTTTTTTATTTTAAATTAATTTTTTAAAATGCTTTTAGATCATTTAGATATATTGATATTAAAAATAAATTTTAAAAATAAAAAAAAATATTTTGTTAATATATTTTAAATAAAAAAATATTTTAAATACTAAATATTACCTATATCTATATGTGACCACGAGATTGCATAAGATAATCAATGTGTATAAGTTGATTAAAATTTTAAAAGAAAATATATTTTAGTCATAATTGTCATTTCTAGTTTAAATTTTTTATTTTCTGATAATAATATTTTTTAAGCTTTATCCAATAAAAACTAATAACAATTAAAATAAATATTTTAAAAGATTTTAAATGACTTGAATTAAAGAGAGAACCTCTTTCTCTTTAATAAAAACTTTATTTTCTTATTCTAACATTATTTTTTTCCAAAGAAAACATATTTTTTCATTAGAAGTATTTTTTAAAAATAAAAAACATTATAATTATGAAAGAAATTTTCAATAAATTTTTTTTTGATTAATCAATAACAATAAAATCAATTAGGTTTAAAAAGAATGTAAATCAATTAGGAAGGAAGCAACCAACGATAATAAAAGTTCGCATAATCAATTAAAATTTTTAGTTTTATTCAAGGTATGAATCCTCATTGAAATAAACTGATATTTATATGGTAAGTTATGATTTATGTAATCACTAGAAATGAGACATAATGAACTAGAATTTAGTTTGTATTAAAATTAATCATGTAATTTCTTATTTAATATGAATAATTTGTATAAAATTAAATTTAGATATTGTGAAACTCTAAATATTTTACCAATATAAATAGATCTTTCAATTACTGGAAAAGATTATTAGCCTTATATATACAATTTTTTAATGTAATTTATAGCTTTCTACAATTTATCTCTTTTTGTTTAACAACTTTCCTTTATATTTCATTTTATTTTTCTTTTACCTTTTTTCCTCGTACAAACACTTAAAAATAATATATCTTTTTTAGGAATTAGAATATATTAAACACATGTATTCCACATGATTTCTGAAGCTACTATATATTTCTACTCGAGACTCAATTCCTAATTATAGTTTCTCCTCATATTTGGTCTAGAAAATTATCTGATTGATCTACAAATTAACACACCTGGTATGACGACACTCAATATTGTTCCATTAGAGTACATCACACCATAAAAAATGAAAGCAGGTAGAATCAATGCATCAACACTAATGATTAATCAGTATAGACAATAGATAGAGTTCATGCTATTGGCCTTGAAGAACCTAATAATCCTCTATCATCACAAGTTCATGAGGAACAACATACATAAGATTAGTCATAGGGTGATGTTTTATCATCTAATTATCTGAAATAACAGAAAACTGCTCTTGGACAAAATCCTAGTATTTACGTTCCCAGCTTTCTTAACATCATCACTTGCGCAAGTAACTAGCGTTCAAATGACTATGCCTCCAACATAACTATATGCTTACCCTTTTTATGAGCTAGATATTATGGTTAGGTGGCAATGACCAGCTGTGCCAAGTTCTTGTGTTGCTGGTAGTGGCTAATCCCTCACGGCCGCCAGCCTTCAACACAGTGAGAAGAAGTCTTCTTAGTCACGCCAGCTTCTCCTCTATCAAACGTGAATAGCAGCAGAGTCTTCAAAAAACGTGACTTGAATATAAAGAGGAATAAGTGGTACCTTCCTCACACTCATTCTATGGTTCTTCAAGAAATTAACTCACGCTGATGGCCTCACATCACCAAGCAGTAGCCAAGTCCTCTTCTCCAAGTAGCAAACATGTCTTCATCTCCTCTGTTCTTAGCAGCCACGACGATCCCACAATTCTAGTCTCAGCTAAGGAGTCACAACAACACCAGCACCCATGTATTTATATTCTCCATCCATAGCAGCTACGACGACAAGTCATAGCAACACCAGTTCAGCTGAGAGCCATTTCAATAGCAGCAGAGTCTTCAAACAGTGAGCAGCCTTTGATTCAAATCGTGCAACAACTGCTAAGCCTCCATCTCCTATGCCCTGGGAGCAGCAGCGGACGATCTTTTTCATCAGCAATCCATTGTTCATGATACAACAGCTTCCTTTAAGTAGTAGTAGCAGAGTAACAGCTAGTCATTGCCTCTCCATAACAACAACAGAGGTTTGCAATTCGGTAACTTCTCCAAGCCGCACAACAACAACAAATACTCCAGCCTAGGTAATGAAGAGAATAATGCTTAATATGGCTGTGGATGGACAATTGCATTATAATTCCTGTTAGTTAGAAGTGCATGCTCTTGGGTTTTAAACATGAACACTAACTGCATTTTGCAAAGGTGCTATGGTGGTTGTTGAAAATCTTGGGTGTGGATCCTTTGTCATGAATATAGTTTGCGTTTTTAATGTTTACAGGCATGGGATGATTGTTTGGTTTTAACTGGGTCTCTGATTATTTTGACAACGAGCTGGGCTACAATAACAATATGGATTCCATGTTTTTTCGGCTGAATGTTGTGTTTGTAGACTTGATGGACTTTTGTTTTGGGTTTGACTATAAAACCCGGTCCATGTGAACAGGCCAAGCCCTTTAGAGGCTAAAAGCATTGTTTGGTTGTGCAGAATTTTATAAAGGAAAATTGCCAAAAAAACAAAAAATTTATCCTTGGAGCGTGATAAACAAATATGACCTACAAATTTTTGACAGTTTTTTTTATTAATTTTTTTATTTGATCAAATAAATCCTAAATAATTTTAAAAAAATATAAAAAAAATCAAGGAATTATTTTAAAATTATTTGTGGGTCTATCATGTATTTTCTAACAATTGTTTTTTAATATTATAGTGTAGAGTTATAGTATAAGATACTAATTTTATATTAAATATATTTGTTTTTCTTTAAAATTTTAGAGAAAAATATAAAAAAATTATTATTTAAAAATATAAAAAATACATTTTTATTTGTGTGTATATGGTCAAGTCTCTCAAAAATAAAAAAATAAAAAAAATCATATTTTCATAAATATAAAAAAATACAAGGCATGATTTAACATCTTTAAATGTAAAAATTCAAGAAAAATAGTTTTGTTAGTATCTTTGCATGCATTTTTATATTTAATAACTCTTTGATGAAATATAACTTGGCTTTCATTTTAAAAATATTAAAAAAATTATTTTATTTGTTCTAATATAAAAAATTATAAATTTATACGTAATATGTGTTCCTAATATTTAAAAATTATAAAAATATATTTGAACTCTAGAATGACTATGTTTTAACATGATAAGATAAAGACTTCTTTTACGATGATGACTTTTTTGAAACTTTAAACATATCAACGTCTAAAAAAATACAACAATACCTTAATTTATATTAGACAAACAAATAATATAGTTTACCTAAGGTAAGGTTTACTAAGGGTGATATGTCCTTCCTACACATAATCAATACCCTTATCTAGACTTTGAAACCAGTTAGATTTGTAGTAATTAAAATCCTAAGTGGAGGCTTTATCCCTTTTTTCTTTTTACTAATATGAAACAATAATTCTTTATTCTTTCCTCCATTGCTAGAAAGATCTCAACATTAAAAAATGATTATTATGATGCCGCACACATGCAATAGAATGACAATTCCATTAAAGAAGCCTATGAACTTAGCTTCCTTTTTTTCATCCAATTGTTGTGTTTTAAATTATTTGGTCTATATTTATTTTCAACATGTCATTCCTAAACTTTTGTTTATATGTTTTAGTTTTTGTACAAATTATTCATGTATTGTATAATTAATTCACACATAAGCTTCTAGGTTTGTTAGAGGATTAGAGGTATATTTACTATATAACTATTGGTCAAGATTCAGATATATGAAATACCCAACTCATATTTTAATGTTGGCTTGTTAATGATGGATATTTACACCTTTAACCTTAACTATTCTTTCTTGGATGAGTTTGGATGTAAGCTAACATGTGTGTATCATCATCATTATATCAAACTTTGA